ATACTGTCAATGAGTAATTGCTTGTTTTGTACCTGGAAGTTTTGACACAAGATGACGCTATAGTCACCCCCCCCCCCCCTCCCCTATTCCCACTGATTACACCAGGAGGTTTTGACAAAAGATGATGCACCATTGCCTCTGTTGAGATCACTCCAACCCTCTTTTCCCTCTGCGCCGCCGCCCCCCATCCTTAATCCTCTATCCCTTCCCAACCCCACCCTCTCCCGATTTCAGTCTTCATCTGATCTTATTCCCATTCCGTTGTCCCCGAAGGTTTGGATGTGAGATCATACATGACCCTGGATATGCCGGGGACTGTGAGAATCTGTTCCACCATTTGATTCACCATCTGCAACAGATAACATGCAAAACATCTCAATATTGCTGGGTTGACCTTTTTGGTAAACAAAAAATATGCATTACCCCTCTCTTTCTCTGTTACTCTGTTTTCACTGTTACAACTTACAACATATGACAAACATTAAAACAGTCAAAGAGCAGGAAATAGCTGAATACAAATTTGTCAGAAATGAACATTATACGATGAGTTGGATAAAAAATTCAACCTCTTTAGACAAATCTTGCCCAGGCACGGCCGCCACGCCAGTCATGAAGTCATTGGTGATGAACGTCCTGATGGCCACAGATCTTTGGCAAGATGGCACGGTCCCCATGGGGTCGCGGTCGAAGTGAAGCGGGACCAGAACCACGGGCATTTGACTGAGTTTGGGAGTGTAACCAGATTCATGAAGTACCTGATTTGAGTTGAAACAAATATTAATAATTATATTAAATTTCAAAATGATAATTTGTTCATTTCAAAATTTCAACCAAGATGTAAGGTTCATTCTGTATATACAAAAGAATATTCCTAAGACATATCAGAATCGACTAAATTTATTATGATTAAAATTAAGTTAACATACTTAAAAGATAAAATTCACTGGTTATTTTTAAAGGCAAAAAGGGCATATGGCACACATTCCATAAATTCAAGCAAATTACATTCAACAAACGGTAATTATGCAATTTCAGATATAAGGTTTATCTTATTTCCCTTACACTAGGTTTATTTAGCAATGTAGGAACATACTTTTAACTATTTTCTTTTAATTAAAAAAACTACTGCAGAGCAAGACAATGAGTTCTTGACAGAAAGTTAGTTTGTTTGTTTACTTTTGAAAAATTGGATGTTTTTTTTTTTTCAATCTCCATCCTTCAATTACCATAAGACAAATTGAATCTGCTCCTGAATCAGAAGTCAAGACAGTATCAAGATTTTTTCCTTAAAACACAGCTTGGCTCACTGAGACAGCAAAAAGGAAGCAAAAGTTCTTTTGACAGCTGAAATCCATGAATAAGTTTCCAAATTATTTAAATAAAAGGCCAGAACCAACATAGACATACCTTATGTGCTAGATAATCTGCCTGTCTTAGTGTCGCTAATACTCCTTCTGTCAGGAAAGTGGGCGTGACATCTTGTATCGGATAATGTAGGAGTCCTCCAAACACGTACACAACCCTGAAAGGAAGTGCAAGTTAGTTAAAATAACAGTGACAATGTAAGTCTTGTCTAAAGGCATTAATTTTTTTTTTAATCAAAGAGGCCTGATGTTTGGACCCTTCATTTTGATCACTCTACTGACTTGTCAATATGAGCTCTAAAAGGCAGGGCATACTACTTTTTTGCAATCATAATGCAAAGAACATAAGAGGACAAATTACATCATTACTGTTTGGTTAATTACTTTGGGACCATGTTCATAAAAGGCCCCATCTTACATCTTAATACATCTTAAAAATTTACAAAGTAAGGGTACTACTTTAAATGTAATTGTCATGAAATGAAAACTGGAGATAGTAAACAAATATACTTCTTTCAGAATTCCTTGATACAAATAAGTTGCGACAGGATTACCAAATTAAAGTTTTACAAGGAGGAAAATATATTGCACAAAGTCCCATGAATTAAATGACACTAATGTCATATCTAAATATATGTCATCTCTTTTACCTATTTATATTATGGCATATTCTAGGTATAAGTTTGGCTAAGGTAAAGAGATTCTCCCAATTTGGCTCTGTATCACTAAAGAGGGCAGCAGGGTAGCTATATGTCCGGCAGTCCCCCTGAAAAATGCAAAGAGAAATAATTTAAAGCGCTTTCTTGAAGACAAAATACTGGACAAATTACTGACTCAGATGTAAATACTCAATGAAAAGACCTTTCATATAAAGCAAATGTGAAAGAATTTCAAACATTGAATATAAATCATAAATTTACTCAAACTCATATTACTCTCAAACTGCTGTACAAATTCCCCGATGGCATGATGGACAACTACCTGTACGCCCACTGTCTGTATGGGTAATAGCGCGACTCCTAGTTTGTCCGTGGAACTGATCCGCGTTAATGCTTCCTGCTCCTGCTCTGATGTGGCACGTTTGATGCGGTCTAAAAGTGCATGTGGCTGTGGAAAGTAATTCAAAAGCAAAATAGTGCCCATAATCATATTAAACATAGGCTAAAAAAATTGTACATTTGACTACATTTTATTGTTCAAATAATCCAAATTAATATAATTATAATACGAGTGAAAAAATTCAAATTAAAGTAAGTTAGATCAAAAATTTTGGAACGAATCAATTTTGTTCAGACTGTATATTTTTTTTCCTGATTACCTTCTTAATGGCAGTGCTGTATTCAATAATCAGTTTCAATATGATACTTGTCTCTCCAAAAGACTTATCTATATAAGGTTCTTCTGTACAAAGTACCCGTATTGCTAAACCAGGACCTAAAAATAAATAAATAAATAAATAAATAAATAAATAATAGCGAATTAATCAAATACAAACAGATCGTCAGAAAGATCTTTCTAATGTTTTTAATGAATACATTTATGAAATGTTTTTGTAAGTTCTTTTACAGCCCAAAAATTAGCCTGGGAAAGGGTATCTCTGATAATTCACAAAGAAAGAAAGACAAGCTCATTTCATAAATTAAATTTTAATTTACTGTATGTACATTTGGTTCATATTACCTGGAAAAGGGTGTCTCTGCACTATTTCAGCTGGTAGGCCCAAGTCTTTGCCTATTAGTCTTACTTCATCTTTGTGAAAGTCTACAAGGGGTTCTACAACTCTGCCCTGAAAGGAACAGAAGTATTGTAAAACAAAATATAGGAGTGCAAAAGACATGTTTGATAATGCAATGGATTCTGTGTTTTTAGATTTATTTCAGCTTAAAATTTCTCATCACATCAATGCCACTTATCATTGCAAATTAAAAATATTTCTAAAAATGTGGCAATTTTATCAGTAATGTGTTTGGATTAAAAAAGTTTTCTTCCTTTCTTTTATACTAATTTGTCTTTTAAGACAAGTCTTTCCTTGAAGGGGCCAAACAAATAACAGCCCATAGTAGAAATTTAAGGATGGTCTCCTCTGCTTCTTATCTTAGCAATAGCAGATTCCTCAACAGCTAATAGTTGTACATTGAATAATTATCATTGCCCATTTATAAATAATTCCCCCTTTTCTGACTTATTTCTAAAGAGGTAACCAATTTGTCAGTCAGGGATGAGACTGCCATCTAGTGAAAAAGTCAGAAAATATGGTGTGGGGTCCAGGGGGCAGCCAAGACCAATGATATTTTTGGTTCCGAAAAAAATCTCATCCATGATCAGTGTTTGGACACAAGATATATTATTATACTCTTGATAAAAAGAAATACAGTAATTTGAATTTATACATACAGAGCTAATGAAACTGTTCTCTCACAAGATATATTATTATTTTATTAGCTATTAATATAAAGCAAACTTCATCCATTACAGACTTAAGTAGTGGTCTCACCTGTTTCCTGAGCTCTCTGACCAGGTCTGTGTCATTGTGGTGCGTCTTAATGGCGTCTGCTTTAGAACTTGCCAGCTCAGAGGCACTTTCTATCAGATCAGGACGGAGGGTGCCTGGAAGAATTTAATAGACGAGTGTTATTATTTTTCCCTATAATGCATTAACAATTATATATCTATATTTGCATTCACTATGATTCCATTATGGACCTTGTTCTAAAAGATAAAAGACAAAGAATCAAACTTATTTTGCTAGATTTGAAAGCATGGAAGAAAAATGTGGTAAAGAAGACAACGCTAATGTTCAAAAGGTCCAAAAATAATAAATACTAGAAATATCAAACACAATATAACCACAGTGTCATACCCCGAGATTCAGAGGTCACTAGAAACTGATGCCTCTGTCTTTGCTGATAGTAGAGAGAGGCCAGATCCCAGTGACCTCAGTAAACTCAGGGTGCACAGCCCTCACCTTGACCTAAATATACGTCTTCTGGTTTCAGGTCTAATTCATCAATAACTTCGTTGGCTACCTATGAGAAAAACATTCACAAATTACAGGGTGATATTAACCAGTGGTTTAGCGTGACAGGGGAAAAAATCCAGGCCAAATTGACACAAAAGTTTACATTGTGTAATGATGAAAATATCCATTCAGTACACACCTCAGAGTATTTTGTCTTATTTATTTCTAACTCCAGAAAAAAAAATTATATTGTTCCTTTTTAAACACTGAGCTCAAAAATTGGCAATTTTCAGGTAAAAGACCAAGCAAAATTGTACTGGTGTAAAAACACCTCTTTTAGATACAAGTTCTATATCAGTAGATCTCATTTTCAAAGAAGTAAATTTGAATAAGGACCATTATTATTTCTATTTGTTGAAGTGACAGAGGCAAACTGTCCTACCCTCATAAACGTGTCGCCTATAATTTTCCTCTTCTCCTCTGGGTTGGTGGTTGTATTTAAGGTTTTTGTTTTGCGTTTCCGTGAGTTGGGATCAGAGCTGTCAACTGGCAGTGACGTGTAGCCGCTGTAGAAAGTGTGACTGGCATTGACAACTGAAGAACAACAGTACCATTTTTTTCATATGAATAAAATGTACAATGACAATCATGATGACTTTTTGTTAGTCTACTGCAAAATAAAAATACGATGTGTTCTGAGTAAAGGTAGATTGATATAAAGGTAGGTAAATTATTTATTCCGAATTGACTGGGTTGTGCTGCATTTTTGACAATGTTTCTTTTGTTATTCCTGAATGTTGAATTATGCAGTGGGGAATCCAAAGAGAAAAATAATGACAAGGGCAGAAAATACTCAATGACCTAAAATATCACCAGATAATGTCAATATTCCAAGAAACCTGCATCAAGCTCATGGGAATTTCACCACAATTATTGTCATAATTTATTAATTAACCAAGCACCTTACCTTTTAACTTGAGTCCTAGTCCTCTTAGAGATTCTTCAACCTTTTTGCTCTCATTCTTTCTCATGAAACCATTGTCTATATGTACAGCTATCACCTGGTCTTCCTTCAGTGCTTTGTGAAGTAAAGCAGCACACACTGTGGAGTCCACACCTCCACTTACCAACATCTAAAAAATACAATAAATTACAATTTCAGCAACAGTACAACAAGGGCTTTGTAGCAAGGCAACACTCAACATACCTCCACTAACCAACATCTGAAGAAAACATTTTTAACAATAGTAACAATACAACAAATATCCAAAGTACAACAGCGTTACTGTTTATCCTGGTAAGTTTTCACCGAAATTTTTGAATATTACACTTTCAATACAATGACATTTAATTTGATATTACAATTTATGACATAAAGCTCTGAAAACTCAATTTGGCACTCATCAAAATTTCAGGGTACTGTAACAAAAAATAATGCGTAAAAAACTAAATAAATATAAAAAAACATTCAAAATAAAAATACTGATAAAGTTTAGGCATTCAAAAGTCTACATAAACATTTTCGATTACTTACAAGTACTTTGTGATCGCCCACAGTTTTTCTTATATATTCTAAACAAGCCGCCTCTCTCCCCTTCATGTTGTAAGTGCCTTTACACTCTGCTATACCATACAGGAAGTTCTTCAGCATAGTCTTCCCATGGGTTGTCAGGTCCACCTCGGGGTGAAACTGGACTGCGAACATCTTCAGTTTTTCATTGGCTATAGCTGAGGAGATAAAAGGGGTTTATTGGATAGACTGTATACAGCACCAATGTTAACAACTGAAGGCAAGTGTTGGATGGGATGAGTGAATGGTAGTGTGTGTGTGTGTGTGTGTGCGTGCGTGCGTGCGTGCGTGCGTGCGTGCGTGCGTGCGTGCGTGCGTGCGTGTGTGTGTGTACACGCGCATGCACATGCTTGTTTTATATCTCAGAATATATTCCATTACTTTTAACTATGTGAACACAAGCACTTGCATTAGCTTGCTTGTGCCTCAGAGTGCATATGCATCCATGCACAAGCACATTTTAAATCATTTCAAAGTATGTAATGATACCAATCAACCACATGAAATGTATTTGTGTATGTACGTGTGTATATGTACACATGTGCATGCACGCCTGTAACAAGCACGAGTTCTGACCTGCCACAATATTTCCAGAAAATGCCACCTCTTTGAATCCATCTGCACAACTACCCACACTGTCTCCATGTGTGAGTAGCACTGGCTCCTCTGGGTCACAACCTCTGGAATTAAAAATTTATATGTATATATTACACATACATTTTCCACATTCACTATCTGGAAACTTTGGATCCTGAAAATGTGTTTGTTTTGTATGAAGATTTGAGTTAGGTATTTACAGAAGTCTCAGTTACTGCAAAAACAATTACATTCTCCAAGATATGTTCCAGATAGACAACAATGAGATTGTAGAGTTTACATATAATGTAGTCATAAACTATATGTTTAGACTAATCTTATGTACTGTTTATTAACCAAGCATTTCACACTATTCTACGTAATTGATGCGCTAGGAGACCCAGTGTTATCTCAATGTTGTATTGTATTTAATCTTTCTGAAAAAGAAAGGAAGGAGGGAGGGAGAGAGGGAAGAGACTCACTTGAACAGAGAACATTCCAGATCCACTTTCACATTGAACTGTCCATCTTCTCTGGTTTCTTTCTTCTCCACCACACCCCCAAACTCCTTGTTCATCATCTGGCATATAAATATTATAACAACAAAAATTGTTTTTATAACAACAACTGTTAAAACTCACTGAATTCAAATTAAATATTTTGATTTTCAAAATATGCCATTTGATACAAATATCAAGAGAAAATGACTGACAAATTTTGAAAAGCAGGTCAAGCAAAGGCCCTGGAAAAAATCAGTGGATTTTTCACACTACTTCTAAAATGTAATGATACTATGGATTTTAAACAGATTTTGCTCTAAATAAACAGAACATACATGCAAACCATAACAAATTCCTAGGACTGGTAGTCCACAGTGAAATATTTCTGGGTCATATTTAGGAGCATCTTCATCATTGACGGAACTAGGACCTCCAGATATGATAATGGCTCTGAAAAACGAAAATCCAATCTCTTACATATTTGCTACTCCTCTTCAATATTTTGGGATCCCTGAAAGTCCTTTTTCTTTTATTCTTTAATTATTTTTGGACCACTAAAAGAGCCTTTTCTGTAAGTCTAACTTAATTTTTTCATTTTTGTGACACATTATTATACTTATCCAATACATCATTCCCATTACTCTTTGAGTACACTGTGATTATTTTGGATAACAGTAAACATTATTCCAGTTATTCCAACTTAATATTATATTATGTTTAGAACACATTATTTCACCAGTGTCATTTGATAGAACACATAAAGGCAAAGAACTTACACAAAATGTAAGAAAAAGCTAAGAAGCTAAGAAAAATCAATTTAAGACCTCGAAAGTGCAAGTAAAATCCTTACTTGTATCCAGTCTCCTTCAGGGCAAAGGCGGGGGTATCCAGGGGTAGGATGACCGACTCCACACACAGTTCTCTTACTTTACGATCTATTACCTGGAAAGGTGAATAGTAATAATAATAATAATAATAATAATAGTATAATTACATTTTTAAAATAATTTTCATTTAATATTACAGAAGCAAAACAGCTTATTAATCAGTAATATATAAGTAATAAAATAAGTTATCATAATACTAATAACAAACATCATTGCTCTTATTATTATTATTATTATTATTACTATTATTATTATTATTATTATACAGATGACTTAGGGCTTTAAACAAGAAGGGATTATACACACAATTTTTTTAGCCACAAAATTTTTTGTTTAGTGAAACACAAAAATTCCAATGCATCAAATTATTTGTAAGTGGTTTGTCTGTACAAACAACACTTCAGGTTAGTAAACACTGAATGAATAAATAAATATAGCTCTATGGAACACCTGTTCTCTATCAGCTCTCAGGTTTCTAAAAATACTCCTACAGGAAAAGCAGTTTATTAATAGCACACCTTCCAGCATTGTAAACAACATGCACTGGAAAGATCAATCACATGGGGCCTATGTTGCAAGAGAACTAGAGATAACAATTTGGGCTGAAGATTTTTTTTACTTAGATATTCTAGTCAGCTTCTGTAGAAATGTGTAGTGGTCAAGTAAAATGTCTCTCTTGTTATAAACCAGGTGTTACTAATTTCATCTAATCAGACCACCTCTGTGCTACTTAATTTAACACCACAGATCTATCTATGTGTACAGGCTGTGCATGTGTGCATGCACACACACATGCATGCACGAGCACACACACACACACACACACACACACACACACACACACAGATGTAAGCATATGTAACCCTTTCCATACTGAGCCCCTGCATCCAGTATTGCCAGTGTCCGTATGCTGAAGTAGACACACATGCAAACATACACACACACACACACACACACACACACACACACACACACACACACAGCATATAATATGAAAACCTCACCTTTCCATACTGAGCCCCAGCATCCAGTATTGCCACAGTGTCCGTATGCTGCTCAAGTAGATCTCCATTCACCTGAGCCGCCAGCACCTCCCCACCATTCATTCTGCTACAGCACAATGTAGTACCAATTGTCCTATGTGATACATACAGAAACAATAGCATTAACAGTACAATGAATATACAGTACTGTTACAACAATGATACTGATTGTGTTAGTATTTCTAAGCTAGTCATTCCACTATGTACAGCACAATGTATAACCAATTGTCCTAGGTGATATGCACAGAAACAATACCATTAGCAGTACAATGAATATACAGTGTATTTTTACAACTGTTTCAATGGCCCTCACTCAGTATTTCTACGCCTGTCATTCTGCTATGTGCAGCACAATATGTGATAAACAATAACATTAACTATTTACAATGAATCTATATATACTGATGTTACAATGTCCCTCGGGCATTAGCATCTCTGTACAGAACATATAATACAGCTTTTGGCTGTACTCTGTGATAAATACAATTTGTCAATGAATCTATAGTAGTGTTACAATAATGACTCAGCTTACGCCATTCATTCTGCTACTGGTACAGTCTTAATAACATGCAGTCCCAATAATTGCCTGCATGTCTGATAAGCATCAAAGCAATTACGATTTCTGTAATAATGCCGAATGCCAATAACACTAAATAGGGTTATATCACTATTTGTAGGTTGTCAAGAGTACAATAAAGATTTAGATTGCCCTAAGTAAGAGAAACCTGATAGTAACAATGGTTTTACTAAAAAGAATGTGCATGATTATTCCTATGTACATTGAAAAAACTTTTTTTTGTTTCAGCCCATCAGTGCTACTACTAGTAAACAAGTTCCAGCATGCAATTGCATTGTGCGTAACTTAAGTACAAAAGTACTGCATAAGCTCGTTATTTAGCATAGACATATCACAGACATACACACACACATACAGATACAGAGTATGAGGGGGGAGAGAGGGGGCGGTACTGTAATTTGGTTTGACATTGAAAGTGAAACTGCCTTTCATATCTTAATTTCCAACGCCAAAACTCACGTCAGCCAAAACATCGACGACCTCAGTGACAATCCGAGATGTAATCAGAAGCAATTATGAGTAATTTCACGCAAAAGGAGCACTGTCGCTGCTTGCTACAGTCGTGAAGATTGCACTGCACTCGTTGACATTAAACCAGCACACACACGTGAGAAACATGATCAACAATAACAATGTCCATTTCTCCGCAGAACAACGGATCATTTAAAAAATAATGATGAAATTATCCTAGTATAATGCATTTCAACATAAATCAAATCTCACAGCATCAATGTGAGGAGGCGTAATTAAAACACTTACAAAATTTCACGAGACAGTCCTCACGCTTTTTCCGTCTTCTGTTCGCGGAGTTTGTAATGCGCATGCTCGATTATGGAACCGCGGCAAATCAGTTCCTGGCTGTTTTATCAAACTTATTATCATTTCATATGAGCAATTCAGTCAAAACTAACATAGAAATAGTATACTGAAGATTTTTTTCTTAGAGTCATTACTAAAAATATAAATCTGAACATTTTTACACCTTGTCGGTGTAGAATGTAATCCCGCAGATGGGTAACTAACGACGCTTCTTGACAACATAATACAACCCATGTGCTTGCAGGTGCCCTGTCAACAACCACACTACCAGAAGGATAAGACGCTAAGAACAGGTGAGTGAGGATTAAGTAAATCTCCAACTTGAGTTTGATATAGGATATATCGATGGGATGAAGGGTTGTATAATCTTCTAATTGTAAATATGTTACGAGCTCAAGCACCTGCTAATTTATATACGCGTATAATTTATAATCAAAGAGACAGCGAGATATTTGGCATGAATCACTAATAGTTTTTTCCTTTTTTAATGGTTAAAACCTATATGTACCATTACCGTAATTTCACACAGGTCGCACTTATTGCTATTGGGTTTTGCCATATTTTGTCCATGCTCAAAAATATATATAGTTGCACTGACACAGGCCTAGCTATTTTTCTTTATAAATTATTTTGACTGAAATAAATATTTAGTGTATATTTATTTCGGAGAAGATTAAAGATATAATAAATACATTCTAAAACTAAAGCAGTTTATTATCCAGCATATGCAAATATGCTATAAAGATGGTTTAATTTATGCATCATGCAACTGAAATGTATGGACCTATTATTGTATATAACGATAATATATACCAGTTTTTCATTTCTGCCTTGTAGAAAACAATAAAAATCAAAAGAGAAATACTCAGCAAAATGGAGCCTACCACAGGAGAAATAGATGTGTACACCAAAAGACTGAGACAGCCCAATGACCAGTATACAGTCCTCACGGACACACAAATACAGAACAACCGCAAAGTAAGCAACATTTTCTTAATTTAAAAAAATTCAACGAACAATAGAATATCAAACTTGTGAACATTGTAAGTACAGTAACAATGTAATGGGGTAATGGTAAAGTGAAGTGTACATCAATATTCCCATGTAAAATATAACAGCTAAGGAATAAATTACAGTGATAGTTCACATGCTTGTGATGTATGCAGGGATAATCCATGCTTTAATTCTTAAATATCTCTCTTTAAAATTGGGGATTTGCTGTGTAATGTGAGTATAAATTTGCCCATGAAATTACACAAATATTTCCAAGCTGCATAAATCTTATAATTTATTTATTTATTCAAATTAATGCACTGTTTTAGATAAATTTGTTTTATCCGGCATCCAAATAATCAATATCATCAAACAATCTGATATATTTTATATTCTATTTCAGCACCCTAGCATGCATTTCCATTTCTCGCAGCCAAAGGTCGTACCAGATAAGCGATGGTGGGTGCCCCGCTACTGCAACCACTTCAGCCAGCACCTGGTCCGGGAAGTATCCCGCAACCAGCCATACTGCTGGCTGGATTACCAGTGGGACCAGAACCCACACCCAGACCAGACTTCATGCCGCCAGGGGGCGTTTGAGAAGTGGGGACCCAAGAGGAATGGTAGGAATCTTACTCATTTTTTTCAGAAGTTTCTGGTTCTGGGTTAAAATGTTAGTACTGTCTCTTGAATGATGCAAAAATGATGTTGTCATAGAAGTCACGTATGTTGTCATAGACCAGTTGTGCTCATGCCTTTTTAAAATTAACTTAAACTTATCATTAACTTATCATTTTTTAATGATGTTAATGAAAAAAATCAAGACTGAATTTGTTTTAGTCCCTACTGGACAATGCTTGGTATTACAAGCAAGGTCATTATTTAATGAGCTTAATCATCATAATACACATCGTATTTTTGTACTATTAGGTGAGAAGACATATCGCCATTTTGACGGAGAGCCCACCAGGAGTTTCCTCAATATTGATGTGTACAGACCACCAGCCAGGTGTGAATACGGCCCCACGGTGATGGACTGCGGAAGACCTGGGGTGGGATACCACCAGCAGAAATATGCATGTAAGTGTAATATGAAGCTTGACTGGGCCCTCTTTCACCAAAGAGACAAAATCCAAACCTGGTCTTCATTTTAAGACTGGAAAGATTTTAATTGTGTGCTCTGACAGGGGATAAATTAGTGGAAGTCCTTTGAAATGCTCGACAAGTATCTAGCTTAAATTTATTGCATTTGCTGTTAAACATTCTCTTTTGAACTGACTATTGATGAATAAATTAGTATCAAAGTACATCAAAAAACATTTTCTGTTAACATCTCAAAGCAACTTGTATACAGGCTTAACTCACTACTTTCACTTTTAACCCACTTTCACTTTCTGTTTTCAGCTCAGAGCACCTGGTTTGGTTCCTCTGTCCCTCTGAATCGCACAGACATCCTGCAGACCATCAATCGTAAGACCACAGCTGAGTACAAGGCACTCCAGAGGCAGGAGCAGATAGATACACAGAGAGTGGACCAATGGCCAGAGTATTCTGAATATACCGATAAATTCATCATGAAAACAAAGCCTTCCCCCAGGTTGAATAAGTAAGTGAAGGAACTGTGATCATTACAGTATGATGACTTTTAAAGATATGTTGTTGTTTTTTTAATTTTTGATATTATTTTATTTAGAAAACATAGTTTAAACTTAGTAATAACTACATAAGATAATCCAAAAATCCGAAAAGGTGAAAGTATTTTTTGTGAGAACATAATATTTAAATTACTAAAAATGATAGTCTCTGAGTGTGAAATTAGAGTTATCTTCTTCAATATGCTTTGAAAATTGTTACTTATTATATGCAATAATATATTCAATACTATACTACTAACAAATTATCCTATTCTGTGATCAAGGGGTTTTCTAACATTGCTACTCCATCTTTCTATTTCCAGTCTAGAAGAAAGAAAACGATTTTTGGCTGAGTCCAGACACCAAGAGGAAATAGAGCGTGCAAAACTCGAAGAATCATGGCGACAGTCACAAATTCTGCCAACTCCAAAGGAAATGGAATTTACACCCTATGAGACAAATGTAGAACCAGTGAAAGTAGGCATTTACCCGCATTTACCTGAAATAACAAAAACACCAGGAGCACCTTTGACGGACATATATGTATAAAACAAACTAGGACTTATATACCATTTCCTCTCTTCTGAATACAATGGTTAGGATCTAGATCTGTTCATTTGGTCCCAGAATAAAAAGTGACTAAAGGTGAAGAGACAGCTACGTTTGAGAGAAGGCTAGGGATGTTGGAACAAGACTTCGTCTAAGAACCATCATGAAGTCACAAAAAGGGATAGAATTGCTGTGTACAAAAGCAAGGCATCTTTGGTAATCCATAGATGCCCAGCACATACAAGCAGGACGATGGAGGACTGATGGTGACATTATGCCCAAATATTCAATGAACTCAGTGTTCAGCAAGGGCATAAAGCAGGGAGTACTTAATTCCAGAGTCTGCAAAACAGGGGTGAAGAAGATAGGTTTTGATAAGCACAGTGAAATGTAACTGATGGCAGTATTGCACACAGGAGCTTAGTATGAGGAATGCATGCACCTCAAAGCCATTATACTTCCATGACAAGCTATTTATAAATGGCTCCTTGTCGCTTAAATATATATATACATATTGAGCCAAAATACTGGTCTTATATTATGTGCTGAAGTGCCATTGCATACTTGTACTTTCTTCATCATACAGAGAATGACATTGTGGAATCGAAGTATTTAAATGGTATTAAAATTTAATGAAAGAAATTTACAAATTGAAATCCATATACTTTGAATGGCATTAAATACATTTTTCACCGATATGAAACAAAAGTGACATGCCTTAAATCAAGATTAAAATATTTATTTATATAAGGCAAGGCATGAGATTGTTGCAATATCTTTACATAATTCATCATGTGCATTGTGAGAATGTAAAATTCACAGTAAACTAAATCATTTTTAAATTATTAAAATAACAATATCAAAAGGGTCCACTTCAGAACAATCATTTATAAGTAATAAAAACTCTGGTTCAGTCCACGTACAACATTCTGGAATAAAATATGGTCATCATCTTGAAACATTCACTTTGCTAACATTCGTCTACCCATGCTGTGAAATTTTTATAATTCAGCCAGTATATATCAAGTCATGGCCTACAATATGTTTCTGAATACAGCACCCGCATCTTGATTTGACTAATTAATAAGGAATGGATGATTTCCAGAGTTCAAAAACTAACCAGTGAACTTTTTATATATCACATACTACTCAGTGTATACTGAGGCATGAAGATTGTTATCATATCAAATGGCCTCTTNGAGAGAGAGAGAGAGAGAGAGAGAGAGAGAGAAAATGGAATATTTATACCAACAACCATCAAGAAATAAGTGCTCTTAAAAGTATGGAAATATCTGTGAACAAAATTGTAGTAAAGAAAAAAAATTTTTAACTAGAAGAGATGGGAGCACCCTGAATTTCAATCTCTTTAAGCAGAATGCTTCTGCATGCTGTCTGCAGCGAGCTCTGGTACTTGGGGTTGGCATAAGAAACATCTAAATAAATTCCTTTCCTCTGCAACTTGACAGCAAGAATTGCTACAGTAACCATGGTAACAACATTATAAAGATTATAATAAAACAGCTGCTTATCAACATGAAAAATATGTATAATATATAAGTAATTCTGATATAAAATTATATTAATTTATCATCAAGCATTATAAAATAGGAAATTGCAAATACAATTAACTTTCAACAAATAATTTCATCAGCTGAGCTATGCAGTCAAAGTTACAACTGTTACAATAAATTTTTCCAACAGCTAAAAACCATAGTAGATGTAATCTGGTTATATTTTCTAACTGCACTCCAAGGTAGGGGCTACTATAAGAACACATACATTATGATAGCTTCATTCCCTGCTGATGGCATCTTGTCAGACATAGAAATATTGGAACAAAAACTGGCTGTAATTATTGGAAAAATACAATACTGTAACATTCTAGGGTGAAACCAGCATCACTGCCACCAAATATAACATATTTAGCTGTGCTTTATTTAATAAAAGTGCTTTCCTTTTGCATTTAATTTTACGTATATATATAAATAATATAATAATTATAATACATTTGTAAAAATGTGACTAGAAATTAGAAGTATGAGTATAATATGAACAGGTTAGGAACATAAGTTTTTAAAGCAAAAGCAAATTTAAATAAATATTCTATCTAAATGGTTTCAAGTCACCACATGTATCAAATATCACATATGACCTTGTCACAGAAAACATCCATACTTGCCCTTTTCAGTCCTAGGAGCAGTGTTAGAAATTAAGGCTGGACTGTCTGCCCGGGGCTGACAACTTTCAGAACGGGCTGAGAAGTTTTCCCACCCGGCAGACATTTGAGCCAGCTACTTCTCAAGATGGCTGAACTTTCGGTCCAGCAACTAATTTTCCTAAGAGGCAAACACTGCCTAGGAGCATTGGTTTTTTTTATCCCATTGGAAAATTAGTTTACTAGGTTCCAGAAAACTGCTGATTCCAATCAAAATATTATTATTTTTATTAGTTCAATTATGGAATATATAATATCATCTCTGGAAAAATAACCCAAAACCCAAAGCTAAAATAAAGCTAGTCACTTAATTTTTTTCCCATTAGTTACATGACACATATGCAAAAATGTTATTCTACTGCTGCTGTCTTGCGACAAACATACTATCTATTATACAGTCTATTATAATCATTATGATCACATATAAAAATTGTTTTATAGCCAAATAATATTTCAGATAAATACATATGATACATATTCCATCTTAAAGAAAAGAAAACATTTAATTGCCTAGGCATAGTAAATGCACCTGGTTAATATTTATGATTGCTAAAAAATTTCCAAACACCACCGAGTCAGTCACCTTTTACTTATATTTATCATCACAAAACTTTTCCTTCTGGCACTAATTATAAGTCATCTAACTTTTCTCAACTTTTGAGTCTACAATTTAGAGTATGACTTACAAAAATTGTCAATTCATTAGGTTTAAATTATTAAGTTATGGCCAAATGATCACATTTCCAGTAAACCCAGCTGCTTAATTGCCTTAAATTGATCCGGAATTTCCATCAGAGCAGCCAGCGCAAAAGCAGCCTGTGGATTCCTTGCGTCCCTCATGGCTAAATTAAAGTCAACAAACTGAAAGTTATCAAACCGTCTCTGTGGAATGCTGTCATCGAATTCTTTCATCATGTCCCACGGGCCGTCCCCCACACCAATCATAATGATTGACAGTGGGTATTGTGCCGCCTCCACAATGGCGTGACGTGTTGCCTGCTCATTGGTTACTTGACCATCTGCCACAATGACCAGGATGTGGTACTACAAATAAATAAATTTTATATCCAATAAATAAATAAATAACGAATAAATAAATAAATAATTCATATCTTATGTATTCATATAATCAAAATCTTAAATTGCTTCATTTGCTTCGATGTATGTCTGATTCTTTAAGATGTAACATTTTTCATTTTTATAAAAGCAATTCTTCATCAATAACTGAAACTCTACAGAGCATATATGCTCTCAGTAATAAGTTAAAACATCCATCAGACCCATACCATACCTAGTCAAAAATCATTGTCTTGAATGATCTATATATTTAATTTATTAAGAATGACTGAAGCAACAAATATGAAACAATATAAAAAAAAGTTATGACTGCAGTGCTATAATAGAAAGCCACCTACTGCTTTGGTTTGCCTGACAATCTCCAGCGCCCTGCGGATCAAGGGGGCAAAGTTAGTTGGTCCACTTAGCTTGACATTTGGGGTAATCTGGTTATATGCCTGGAGCGCATCATGGAAACCAGTGCAATATCCCTGAAACAGTTACAAATCACGTCAAAAATGTCCCAGATAAACATGGTTTTTACCATATCTAATCTCCGGGATACTGATCGAGTTTGATTCATCTGACACAAACTGATAAATCCTTTGTAAAATAAAACTGTGAATATACACATGCATACACAAATAATAAATGCATAATTTAAAAAATGAAAATATTGTAAGATAAGACAGTGAAAAGAGCAACATCTTTTTTCTTTAACCAATTTTCACCTTTCATTTACAGAATGTCTTGTTTGACAAATCTAGTAACATAAATCATGTCGTAGAGTTGTCATTTTGATCACTTTCTATTAGCGCATTCAGATCAGCAGACAAACAGATCCGCACATTAAATATGAAGACCCACTTAAAAGTTTGTGCTCAGATCTTCCTAAAGACAAGGAATAGACTTCCTGCAGGGATTATGCAACAAGCATTTGAGTGGGTCAGTCATATTTGATCCGAGGACTAGTTAGTCCACTGTTGTGAATGTGACTGCAATATTACCTCTGCTCTAAAAGGAAAAACTCCAGTTCCTCTGGTAGACTGGTCACCAAAACCAAACACTGGTATAATGCCATCCTCATCAAATGGCTCTATGGTCTCTCCCAAGATACTGATCACCTGAAAGTACAGAGAGAACAATGCTGTCCTGTCTTGTATACAACACCACCTGGTGGTTAAAACCCTTAGGAGTTTCCATAAAAATCACAATAAATGAATACATAGATGATTAAATAAGTTAGAAAAAAAAATCATTAAAAATACTTGTATTATAACAGTCAAAATTATAGAGAAATCCAAAAAAAATCCAACCTCTAAAAGATAACATACATGTACATGTAGTTTTTACTTTATTTTATCTGGAAATGTGACGATAAGCCAAATATCACATAAATAAAAGGTATTCCAGAAATTTGAAAACTATCAGATTTGTGCAAGAAGAAAGGCTCATGGATGGATACAATAAGTTTCATAGTCCAAACTTCAAAAGAGAAGGATCTCATACTAAGAAATGCAAGTATCTGTACACAACACCCTACTAGTATAGGCTTGTTTGTGGAACATGATAAAAGGAGGGCATAGCAAATAATGTGGCTGTGCAAATTGAAAATAAACATGTGCATTTTATAGGTAAAATTTACCTTCTAGGGCTACAGTGACTACCCTGAGTGTCAGAGAAACGTAAAAGCTAGCTTGCTAAATATACCTCGTGGTGGAGTCGCTTTTACGAATTGACATGGGTTATATATGAAATCAAGATCGAGCTGGCAATACCGGAATCTAGAACCTAGGGTAACAGTGACTTGATGGGAAGAATTCAAGCATGTATTGGTTGATTCATTAAGCATGACAGAAACACAAATTATAACAGCCACAAAGCACCCCTTATGTCCCATGTACTTCAAATGTGAGGGGGGTGGTAGTTCGCACTGTTTCTTAAAAGAACTAAAGCCCAAAATTTTGGTCAACTTCCATATAAGAGTCCACCTAAATGAAGTTACCGAAGGTCTGACTCATTTCTATCCACAGATAACTGTATGGGGTCAAATCAGACTTAAATTTTAATCTTAAGATTCAGACCAATTTTTTTTGGCTAAAGCTCTTTTATCAAACAGGCTCAGGTTATGCATTGAATTAAACAACTATTATAATAATAAGCAAACCATAGCTTAAAAAACACAGTGGAAATTCCCTTTAACACATGGAGCACATTCAGAAAAGCGATCTAACAGATCTGGGGATCAAATATGGGGACTCGCTAAAAAGCTTGCCACTTAATTCCCAATTAGACACTGAACAGATTTCCCAAGAGGATTACACAACAAGCATTCAAGTGCATTGGCCATATTTGATCTGCGGATCTGTCAGTCAACTGTAATGTATGGGCTCTTAAATCTTCGTGATTGAAAATTAAAGAGAAGGATGTGAAAGCACAAATCATGCAAAGCTCTACAAGTACCTGTTGATAAGGATTTACAGCACCCGGACCCATATAATGCAGACATCTCCCCCCAAATGTTCTCTGGCCTTGAATATTGTTACTAGCTGTGTAATCTACACCTGGAAAGATTACAGTAAGACTAAAGTGTTCTCTTAATCTGAACAAAATTTTTATAATGTCTTTTTTCCAAAATAAAAATGTTATGTTAGTACAATAATGACTGGAAAAAAGTGGCTTGGTAGTTCTGAAAATCAAGGATCACAGTAAATTTTGAAAAATGAATGAAATTAAATGAAAATTAATGGTGTTCAAAATGTCTGAGTATTCACTATACTGTAAACCAGACCCATATTGTAGATGTAAATCATAGAGAGCAAACTGAATTATATATGAAGAATTAAGAGGGACATGTGTCATGCAGAGAGAAGACACACTACTGCAGATCAGGATTACAAGACATTTAGAAGTTAAGCGGATAAAACTCCCTCTCCTTTTTATGCTTCTTCTTGTTATCATTACTATTTTGAAAGGGGGTGGGGGTGGGGTGCAGTGCAAAGAAAATATATCCGCTATAAATGGTCTATTAGGAGCAATTTGCAGCCCTAAGTGGCACATGCTTGTGTGGGGCCTCATTCACTGCGCATCTTTTCACCACTTTTGGAAAATAACCATGCCAGATCTGCATTTGACAAACTATGAAGTTTTTTTTTTCACGTGGTTTCTAGATAGGATGATCCAAGTTTTAACAACTAAGTCAAACTATAGCCACTTCAAAAAGACAATAACCCTGTTATATGTTTGACTTTTTAAAATAATGCATCCATCAATAAGCAGATGTGTGATCTTTATTACCAAAAAAAAAATGTCACCTTAATATTTACCTGTTGATAAGGGTTAAGAAGATCAGGGTACAGACCATGAAGAGCTCGACCTCCAAAACTTCTCTGTCCCTGGGCCAGGTTACTCAGGGTGTAATCAATACCTACCAAATATGGGCAAAGAATTCTTACTAACAGAACCTTTACCCAAATATGGAAAAAGACCCCTTTCCAAATATAGCCAAACATCACAGTTATATAAAAGTATCTATTTATAATATATTTATATTATATGAAAGAATGTTTAATATGAAAGGACAGTCTGAGGATGTAATACCTTTACAAGATGTGGGGGAATGAAGTGAGGAAAATATGAAAATGAGGAGTCCTACTACAGTACGTATATGGGGCATGTATGGTACAGGCCAGTAAGACAAGTACACATATACTAGCTTTTTTGCTAAAACCAGCTCTTCACTATACTTCAGATGGAAGATGTCACACTGAGATCAAACATACCCTGTGACAATGCCTTTATCTAAATTTTAATAGTTTTACAAAATTTGCCCTCTAAAGTTTTGATATTTTAATAACAGGTAAAATGCCTACCATGGCTTGTTAATTAGCAGTGATGTTTTGTATATCTTTTTTTTATTTTATTTATATATATATATATATATATATATATATATATATTTTTTTTTTTTTTTTTTTTTGGGGGGGGGGGGGTTTTTTTTGTTGTGGGTTTTTTGTTTTTTAAAAAAATTTTTTATACAAATTTTTAAACTGGTTTTGAAAAAACTAGACCAAAAAAA